ATGTAAATTATTGTTACTATTATTAGTACTATTAGTAACATTATTATATGTTTATATACATTTATATTTAATATATATTATATTGTTTGATTATATATAGCTAAAACTATAAAAAAAGTTAAGACAAACTTTAGGTTGGCTTGAGAAAGCATAGCCTGAAAGTTTAAAGCAGTTGTAAAAGCTTGAAGTTTGAAAATTTAGATCGATAGAATAGATAGATGTTGATAGCATGTTTCTAGCATGATTAGCATGGTCTTAGGAGGATTAGCATGTTGCTAGCATGTTTCTAACATGATTAACGTGTTGCTAGCATGGTTAGCATTTAGCTAATCATGATTCTAACATGATTAGCATGTTGTTAACAAGTTTCTAGCATGATTAGCATGTTTGCTAGAATGTGGTTTACCATAATTAGCATGTTACTAACATGTTGCTACCATGATTAACATGTTGTTAACATGTTTCTAATGTTATTAGCATGTTGCTATCATTTTTCTAGCATGATGTTGTTAACATGTGACTATCATGATTAGCATGTTGATAACATGTTTCTAGCATGATTAGCATGTTGATAACATGTTTCTAGCATGTTTCTAGCATGATTAGCATGTTGCTAGCATGTTTCATGTATTTGCAGTTCTGTGTTTGTGTCGTTGCATTATTAAATGTGTACATTGTCATTTAAATGTAGCCACCCTTTATTCAAACGCAACAATTATTTACAGAATTGAAAAAACAAAAACAAAATAGAACGAAAAAGTCCTAAGAATTCTATTTGGTCAGACAATACAATTTGAATCATTCCACATTGTGAGATTTGCTTTTTTTATGAATCAGAGGCAACAATTTGACATCAAACAAAAATGCGATTAACGACACAGAAATGAAACCAAACGATACTTTCTAAAGTAACAAAATGAAATGCCTCTCCCGAAAGGCTGTCGAATTACACGTGCATACACGCACACATCCCGTCCCACTCAAACGATGTGAAATTACATTCAAAACATTTGTTATTAACAGTCCTATGTGCTAGTTTAGAACTGTAGTCGAAGCGGTAGGAAGATGAGATGTTATGAAAAAGGCCTTAATGTGCGTCAGGAACTCAAAGTGAGTGTAGAAATAATATTTGTGCTGACTTTCTGTACTGTGAATGTGTTTGTGAAGTTCATCCCGGTTCTCAAGAGGTGAGTAGTTACAACGTCCTTCTCCAATGCCAAGCAGTTCTCAGTAGCTTCATGCCAGTTCATTGCCGGCTGCAGAGGCGTGTTCAGATGACTTCAGGAGGGTGCTTAAAACTGCATATGAAAAATCAAATAAACATCCATGTCAAAAATACAGTAAGCCGTTCACATCAGTATCACGTGACTGTAGTTTATGACAGTGCTCCTGGTTTCCCTTCAGGACACGGCTGGACATCACATGTTGACCAGCACAGTACTGGAATTGTTTATTCATTGCATAAAAATAAACAAGATGTCTTTATAATCAAGCACTGAATTCTGTTAATATTATCATGAACTGAACAGGCCTTGTTTTTTAGACACATACTTTGACGTCAACAGCAAAAGAGATGGGAAGGTTACTGAGTGGTTACTAAGGTGTTGCTAGGTAGTCGTTAGAGGGTTCTGCGTGGTTTTTACGTAGTTGTTGGGGGGGTGTTTCTAGGTGGCTGCAAGGTAGTCATTACAGGGTTTTGGGTGATTACTAAATAGTTGTCAAGGGGTTCTGGTTGGTTGCTAGGTAGTTGTTGGAGGTTCTGAGTGGTTACTAGGGTGTTGCTAGGTAGTCATTAGAGGGTTTTGAGTGTTTTTTACGTAGTTGTTAGGGGTGTGTTTCTAGGTGGCTGCAAGGTAGTCATTACAGGGTTTTGGGTGATTACTAAATAGTTGTCAAGGGGTTCTGGTTGGTTGCTAGGTAGTTGCTAATGGGTTATTTTGTGTTTGCTAGATAGATTAGGGGGTTCTGGGTGGTTGCAAGGTAGTTGTTGGAGGTTCTGAGTGGTTCCTAAGGCATTGCTAGGTAATCATTAAGGGGTTCTGGGTGGTTGCTAGGTAGTTGTCGGAGGTTCTGTGTGGTTACTAGGATGTTGCTTGGTAATCGTTATGAGGTTCTGGGTGGATGCTAGGTAGTTGTTGGGGGTTCTTAGTGGTTACTAGGGTGTTGCTAGGTAATCGTTAAGAGGTTCTGTGTTTTCTAAAGTAACAAAATGAAATGCCTCTCCCGAAAGGCTGTCGAATTACACGTGCATACACGCACACATCCCGTCCCACTCAAACGATGTGAAATTACATTCAAAACATTTGTTATTAACAGTCCTATGTGCTAGTTTAGAACTGTAGTCGAAGCGGTAGGAAGATGAGATGTTATGAAAAAGGCCTTAATGTGCGTCAGGAACTCAAAGTGAGTGTAGAAATAATATTTGTGCTGACTTTCTGTACTGTGAATGTGTTTGTGAAGTTCATCCCGGTTCTCAAGAGGTGAGTAGTTACAACGTCCTTCTCCAATGCCAAGCAGTTCTCAGTAGCTTCATGCCAGTTCATTGCCGGCTGCAGAGGCGTGTTCAGATGACTTCAGGAGGGTGCTTAAAACTGCATATGAAAAATCAAATAAACATCCATGTCAAAAATACAGTAAGCCGTTCACATCAGTATCACGTGACTGTAGTTTATGACAGTGCTCCTGGTTTCCCTTCAGGACACGGCTGGACATCACATGTTGACCAGCACAGTACTGGAATTGTTTATTCATTGCATAAAAATAAACAAGATGTCTTTATAATCAAGCACTGAATTCTGTTAATATTATCATGAACTGAACAGGCCTTGTTTTTTAGACACATACTTTGACGTCAACAGCAAAAGAGATGGGAAGGTTACTGAGTGGTTACTAAGGTGTTGCTAGGTAGTCGTTAGAGGGTTCTGCGTGGTTTTTACGTAGTTGTTGGGGGGGTGTTTCTAGGTGGCTGCAAGGTAGTCATTACAGGGTTTTGGGTGATTACTAAATAGTTGTCAAGGGGTTCTGGTTGGTTGCTAGGTAGTTGCTAATGGGTTATTTTGTGTTTGCTAGATAGATTAGGGGGTTCTGGGTGGTTGCAAGGTAGTTGTTGGAGGTTCTGAGTGGTTCCTAAGGCATTGCTAGGTAATCATTAAGGGGTTCTGGGTGGTTGCTAGGTAGTTGTCGGAGGTTCTGTGTGGTTACTAGGATGTTGCTTGGTAATCGTTATGAGGTTCTGGGTGGATGCTAGGTAGTTGTTGGGGGTTCTTAGTGGTTACTAGGGTGTTGCTAGGTAATTGTTAAGGGGTTCTGGGTGGTTGCTAGGTAGTTGTCGGAGGTTCTGTGTGGTTACTAGGATGTTGCTTGGTAATCGTTATGAGGTTCTGGGTGGATGCTAGGTAGTTGTTGGGGGTTCTTAGTGGTTACTAGGGTGTTGCTAGGTAATCGTTAAGGGGTTCTGGGTGGTTGCTAGGTAGTTGTTGGAGGTTCTGAGTGGTTACTAGGGTGTTGCTAGGTAAGGTGTTCTGGGTGGTTGATGGGTAGTCGTTAGAGGGTTCTGACATCAGCAGCAAAATATATGGACAGTGTTTCGCTTCTAAGAATGAATACAATAGAATGTAATTTCTCCCTTCTAAGAATTTGTAAGTCAGTTTTGGTGTCCAAATTCTGCAGAATTAGTTGTATTTTATTATTTGCTTTCATCACCGTTTCTCCCTGCTGAGCAGATCTGAGACCAACCAGCTGAGAAACGCCTGTTTATGGCCCTATCCAGTGCCATACAAACACATAAATATAAGTGAAAACCATGATTTAAAGGTGAAAATGAGCAGTGAATGGCTCACCCTCATGGCTCTGCGTGCCGTTCTCTTCTTTGGCGCTCTCTGGGTCACCTGAAGAGAAAGCATATGTTCTCATTCAACAGTTACCATACTAGCTGCTTTATCTGTGACTTTTACTTGGTTTTATTTGGTGAATTTATCTGTTTTGTTTTGTTTTTTATAATCTTTTTTTTTTCTGACATGTTGGTGTTATATCTTTCACTTGGATCTTATAAGTTGCACTAGCCACTAGTAGCACCAAACAAAATTACAAAGATAATGATTTCATTCAGAGTGCATGATGCATGAACATACAGTATGACTGTTTTCAAACAGGTTTCCTCAACAATTTCACCTGCTCCAAACTCCACATCATTGGTTGAGCAAATGTTATGTTGAGACCAAGTAGAAAAACACATTTGATGGTGCAGAAACTACACAATTTGCCTGTTGTGTTTTAGACTGTAAGTGTTTTAGATTTCATATTTATAAATCATGTGTCAGCACATGTAACTATGACAGTGTTTTACTGATTCATATCTGAATGTCTTCTAGAGCATGAGCGGAGCCACAGACCTCTCTGAACCTTGAAGCACAGTTTCTTCTTCTGATAGGTGAAGTATCCGATTATGGCACCAACAGCTGCTACTGCAATCCCACAAACAACACCAACAACCGTACCAGATCCGCTGTCTGCAACAGAACCACCCACACCAAGTCAACAAGTCAAAGCAGGTATTCACAGTCGTGTCACTATGTGGCTGTATGGTTACGCGAGTGTTCTGTGTGGTTGCTAGGGAGTTGTTAGGGAGTTCTGGGTGGTTACTAGGGAGTTGCTGGGGAGTTCTGGGTGGTTACTAGGGAGTTGTTGGGAAGTTCTGGGCGGTTACCAGGGAGTTGCTGGGGAGTTCTGGGTGGTTACCAGGGAGTTGTTGGGGAGTTCTGGGCGGTTGCCAGGGAGTTGTTGGGGAGTTCTGTTCTGGGTGGTTGCTAGGGAGTTGTTGGGGAGTTCTGGGTGGTTACTAGGGAGTTACTGGGGAGTTCTGTTCTGGGTGGTTGCGAGGGAGTTGTTGGGGAGTTCTGGGTGGTTGCTAGGGAGTTGTTGGGGAGTTCTGGGTGGTT